TTTCCCCTGTGCTGGAAACAGTAGGTCTGACCTGCATTGTCCTGTCCCCTTTTGCATGCAGTACACCTGCATGAAGCAAGTGGAAAACACTAGCAAGATAAAACACTTTAAACAATTTTGCACAAGGGACAAGATAACAGAAAATCAGGCCTCCGTGAAGAATGACCTAGGGTATGAATACTTAAAAGTTTGGGAACTTAAGAGGTTTTAGCTGGAATGGAGGGATTTCTGCTGGGGAAAAGGAAGCAGAAGTGGAGGAACCAGACTTGAAGGGGATGATTCAGGTGTCTAAATGTAGGCAGCAAGTGCTTTCTAGATGTCCTAAGACATCCAGACCTCCTGCAAGGGTCTGGAAGGTGTGATACTACAGACAATTTGTCTACTCTTTCGGAGCAGCAGGAGCCGGAGACCAGAGTAACCTCATGGCATCTGGAATGGCATCAGCTATAGATGTTTAGGCACCTAAGTCCTGGTGCCTCTCCCTAAACTCAGGACTTCTCCCAACCTAAACGTTTGAGATGAACTCCCGTGGCTGCTCATCAACATCTACAGACTGACAACTAGCAGGGGAAAGGTGGTCAGCTAGCAAGTTTGACTTGGAGGAGAACTATGAGAAAGCCCTACTTGACCATGGATATGGGAGTAGATGTTAGAGAGTATATATTTCTGGCTGTTGGTACGGGGCTTTCAAGATTCGGAAAAGTTCTTCTGGACCAGTAGGAAGCAGAGTAGGGAGGAAAGCAGCTACTGTGGGGCAAGCAGGAAAGGGATGGGAGTGAGGACTGCTGCTGATAGCACATAACATTAAGCACATGGCTTTGATTGGTACTTTAACAGGGCAGTACCCATATCTGGGCATTAGCATCCATTTCATTTACAGCCTTATAACTCATTACAATATATTTCCACATTTCAGACATGAAGTTCCTCAGGGGAGAATTCAGCATCTGATTACCATGCAAATCCAGCTGGGATGCTGTGTTACAATTCTCTCTTATGTACTTCCCTCATCCCCAAGTCCTTCCTTTCTCTGCTTAAAAATTATTTTCGTGTGCAGACCATACTGTTCCACTACCTAAGATATTGCCTCTTAAAGTATGTATCTACCTCCTAGAAACATTTATAGGACTTGTGCAGATGCGTATACTCCCTTAGTTCTCTGAAATAGTTACAGGTCCATACCCTGAACTCACCTATCGCACACTGGGTCAAATTGAAAAACTATGTTCAGAATATGATTATGAGCTGTCAATTTTTGTTTGATCATTATTTTATGATTCAGTAGTTCTGTTGACTCAGATTCTTGAAGTAATCACATTTCTCATTGGACTGTGTACATGATATTTAACTGTTATGCTTTTATTTATTTATCTTTTTTTTTAAAGTCTAACTCTTCATTGCAATCCAAAAGATAAATTCAAGTACTAGATAAAAAGTGACTCTATTGGGTTCTGATTTGCCATTTTTTATAGGTTTGTCAGTTTTTCCTTAAACAGAAGCATAAAGACATTACCTTAAAACTTCTCTCCAGAGTGAATTGCTAATATTATAAAACCTGCATTAGAGTCTTCTTTACAAAGGTTACCATTAAAAAAATCACTCTCAAGAGCATCATCCATATTACAGTGTTTTTGTCATCTTCTGGTCAACACTGCAGTATGTCAAGTTCCACAGTCTGATAATTTCTGCTAAATATTCAGTTTTCCAATCACAACCGATGAAGGAGCCTTTTTATAGCAGAAGAAATGTAAATACCACATAAAAAGAGCCAAAGGTGAATCATCAACTTATCTAAACACAGTAGCCCTAGATAAAGTCTATACTGTTAACGTAAATACATTACCACAAGTAATGTATGGAAAGAGCTGATTTTAGAAGGAGCCTCACACCCTACTGAAAACTTGATACATACCAAAAACATGTAAGATTTTTTCAATAGTTAAAAGATTTGCATAATTAGCTATGAGTATGAGGAAACTGTTCTACAGTGTTTAGGCAGGAACAAAAGAAAATGTAACTTCAATAGCTTGCAGTTGCCTAACTCCTTTATTTTGCAGACTTCACTACCTTTACACCTACTATTTTAACTCCAAGACATATAATGCAAACATATTTTATCCTAAAGGCATTCGCAGTTTGAATTTCCTACACAGAGATCGTAAATCTAGACTGGGAAGCCTGAAATCGTTAAAGTCACATATTTATAAAATCATATTCAATTAGGTTAAAAAAGTGCAATTTCTGTCATCATGTCATAAAAAGATGTGTTTTTCTCTCAGATCTACTATAAAGAAAAGCTCCCTATATTGTTACAGATAGAGGCTGTTTTCAATCAGTTACAAGGAGCAATCCAATTACTGGATGGTTTAGTGCAGTAACTGACTCCAGACTAATTTAATTTCTTCAGGTCTCTAAAGATCAATTGATCTGATTTGTTTCCCTCCCTAAAGGCTGTTTAGGAAAAAGCAGCCTTAAATACCTGGAAATGAAATACAAAGCTCTGTACACTTTCACACTACTTAGGTCATTCTGAAAAGCTGGAACTTGCAATAAATGAGTGCTCTCTTGGCCCTAACATCACAGGATGCTTTACAGAAGACCATTAAGATCACCGCACAACATTGCTGATTATGCATGCGCACAGCATGTCGGGACGCTTAGGAAACATTACATGGAAGCAATTTACACAATTTCTAGTTAAATATTCATTCTCAAGAGCTGTGCAAATGCGCATTTGCACTGCATACTCTTCCCAGATAAAGAAAAATTTTTATCAGCGAGTCGTCTTATTGAACTTACTAAATTTCCAGGTAGACCTTGCTGGAGCCATGCTGTACTACTATTCAATGGATTACCTACATCTTGCAATACATGCCGCAGTGGACATAAAACAGGAAACTCTTCCTGTTGTTGTATCTCACTTTGTTATTCCTTTTGGTTTATATGAGATTTATTTGAACATTTTTTCTGGTGCTCTGATGAAATCTGTAAAACCAGTGCTGCTGAGGAAACAGCAATGGGGCACCGAGAGAACACGGACTGACTGATTTCACATTCTCTTCTGACTGAATATTTTAATGCTGGAACTGAATAAAACCCTTAGTATGTCTGGACTGTATCAGATAACTCAGGAGAGGAAAAACGAAATTCACAGTCTGTTACCAACCCTCTTGTGTGTCACACTTTTACTATCTTGTTACTTGATGCGTTGTGCAACACTTCTGGTTTTTTAAATACAGTTGTCCCTTAATAAGAGCTAAACTTTCCCATTTAAGTCAAAATAGACCTGACCCAAACTTGGACTCTCAAAACCAGGTTTTAGTGTGGTTTCCCTACTTTTCACATTCTATTTCTTATATTTATTGTAGGTTTCACACTTGGATACCTTATCTTTCACGGCAACATTCATGCCTGGGCTAGGCTGACTGTCTCAGGCTCTGTTCTTACACTTATCAATAAACAAAAGGGCACTGTGGTTTAAGCTCAGCGTTTCTGACTTCATGCCATGTGCTGTTATAATAAGATGTCCTCTGGAAAAATTCCCTTCGTATCCAGCACCATGATAGTCAGTTCATCTGCACAGAGGTAACTAAGTTTTTCTCTCAGCTTATCTGTTCAGATTCTCTCAGCCCTTGTAAAGCTGTGTCATTAGATGTTGCCTGTCTGTAAAAAAAGGAGACTCAGATGTGAAAATCACGGCCTCTTCTCTTCCTACAGGTTCTTTTTTGACTATTTTCTGCAAATAAACCTCATCCCTGGACCTCATTTACCTTAATATTCTGTCAGTATGCCAGGCTATGCTATTTCAATTAAATCTACTTTGGTTTTCTTCATTTTCAACTAAGCCTTTCACTTAGGAAGCAAGCTTTAACAACCCAGCAGTTTAACAACTATACTATAGTCTGCAAGCTTTCTTTCTCAAAATAACTGTTCTTTCACCCAAATTTTCAACAGATCACTAATAATCCAGTAACTAGTAAGGTATAAAACATACTGCCATTTCTCAACCTTAAACTTGCTTGGGATTGATGTACTTTCGAAATGCTGTAAAGACTTTCTCTAGCTGTTTGAATATTAGCAGCTTGTCCCCTATATGCACCCATGAAAGATGAATCATAGAGACATCTGGATATCCACATGTAAGAGCCTGGAGGGTTTCAATCTCTCCAAATTTTCTTTCACGATCATGTTCTTACAGGAAAATTTGGATGCGCTATATCCATCTCCATCAAATTCTCTTCCAGCCTAAAGGACTCAGGCAGCTTAATTTGCTTCATTTGCCAAAGCATTTGACACAGTATCGTAAAACTGTGATGCACTGGAAGGATACCAAGAGACTGAAGCTTATTTCCTACCCAACTGTGGATTAATGCTTCTGTCCCTATGGCAGTGATTGCTTGTAATGAGCTGTAACACAATACCCCACAGTTTCCAGATAAAGCTTTCCCCTAATGAAGCCTGCTGTACACTTTTGGTGAAACAAAGATGGCATCTTTGTCGGCAGAGGGGGAATTACAGGGTTTGTCCTGGTGGCAATAGTTGCTGACTTCAGTGTCTGGGACTGCTGAAGGGTATTTTTGGGAGGCTCCTCTCTCTCTTTTCCACTGTGTGGAGCAGTGGACAGCTATAAAGATGTTTTTCATAGGACCACAGCCCTTGTTTCCCAGAGACCCGATTCACAGCCTTCAATAGGATTAAATGGCATGATAAGAAAAAAGCTTTTCATTCTGAAGTTGTAAAACTGACCCTTTACCCCTTCAAGAAGCCCCATCAGGAAGATGAATATATCGGCCCCAATTGAAACAGATGTCAAAACTCAAAACAATTCTTTCTTCATAAAGTTTATAAGTTTTTTTAAAGGAGGTAGAGGAGGCTTACTATATGCAACAAGATAACATTAAAATGCGCAGCTTCTGAGGAGTTGAAAGGATGCTTTTCCTACAAACTCTCTCTTCTCTTTATCTTATCTGCATGGAAAGTAAACAGAAAGCCCCCATTACCTCTCGATATCAGTGAGTCTGGAAGAGTCCCGGAATCCTTTAGCAAAAGGGTTGCTGTCAATTTTCAACTTGGTTATCTGGAAACACAGAAAAGAGCAACGTAACATGAACATAGTGTTAAGGTGTTGCAGTGTACAAAGTGTTAACCAGTCCATCCTCCTGACCTCACCACTAATTTTATCCATGCTCCTTCTCTGTGTGTCTGGGAGTTGTTTACGTGCATGAAACTCTTGGGATGCTGCAGAACTCAGGAGGCAAAGCCCAGTCCTCCTCTCATGCCATGGCAAAGAAAGAGCAACTGCTCTGAAGTCAGTAAAGTGATACTGCTACAAAACTGGTATCAGCAAGAGAACAAGTCAGATTTCCTTTTGGGAGCTCTATGTCAAGCCAGCTCACGAGGCAGGCTGTATCGTCCATACAGCAATTAAAAGACCAAAGGGCACAATGGGTTGAGGCTTCAAGTTACCCGAGCAGAGGGAAGCCCCATACACACAAGGCTGTTGCTTCCAAATACTCTAGCACAAATCAGGTCATGTTCTCCATCAGCAGTGCACAGCATCCTGCTAAGGTCTGAGCCTCTTTGGTGGAGCTGCACACCAGCTAACGTGAGCCCAAACCGTGGGCCTGTTGCCTGCAAACTTGAGAACGCTATTTCATTTCAGTCCCACCTATTTTTTGGGGGTTATACAACTGTTCTCAGCCAGACCTACCAGCCATCACACAGAGCCAGTATAACTGTTTTTGCAGCGATAAGACGCTGGGGAAGGGAAGGAGGGAGGGGAGCAGTGGGTAGAACCCAGATTTGAAGTGACACAGTCTGTATGTTAAAAGGGTGGCCCCGTTAAAACCATCACAGTCCTAAAAGACCCGATCTCTTATAACCAAAACTCTCCTCCCCTCTTCAAATTCACCTACAGACCTGTTCGGCGTCTCTCACTAGCCTTTACACCCGCCATAGTAACCCACTGGTTAGGACTTCCTCTGCCCCAAAGTATCAGGGCTCCGCTTAACTTTGCAATGAAACCGTTCAGGAATAGAGGGTGGCTACCACTGTGCTTTTTGGGAGCAGGAAAAAATACACAACATTGCCCTTCTGAAATTTTCCAGCTGCCCAACAGAAATGAGATTTGGTAAATAAAACCTGAGACATCACAATAATAGTCAGATTTTTCAACTACACTATTTCTTCTAGGAATTAAAAACAAACTATAAGTAAGCCGTTAGTTAGAATTTGATTGTACACAAGACAAGGTCTGTCCTGCAAAGCTGTGAATGCCACAAATGCTAGCTGAAGCCAAAGAAAATCAACAGCTCTCAGCATTTCATACTGAGCAGCTATTTCAGCTTGGCTTTCCCTGAAAAAAGCCTGTATAATAGAGCCACAACCTCATTTTTAACAGCTGGCCCTTGAGACTCAGAAAGAAAAGGGATCTTTTCCAAATCCACAAATGATCAAACGCTCTCCTGTAGTAAAGGTATTTCAGATTTGGGTGGCGCCTCCAAAAAAGGAGGAGGATAATTGAACCCAACTTTTTGTTCTGAGAGAGAGGTCTTTTGGGAGGCAAACACAGAGAGGGAAGGATTAGCTTACAAAAAGGGAAGTATATGGAGCAAATAATGAGTATTTAATTACTGGTCTGCAGTATATGAAAGGCAGGTCTGAGCTACAGCTCTGGACACAGTAAGAGGAGGAAGGGAGGACAACAAACAGAGAGGCAGTCTGGGTAGGGGGAGGGACTGGGGTCAGGAAAGCTGTAATGGAAACTAGCTGTCCTGATATCGTCAACAAAACCACAGCGGCTGCTGCCGGGTCTGCCACCAACCCGCTCTGCGACCCTCGGCAACTCACGTCACCGCTCTGCTGCTGCCTTCCCTGCTCGACTCTTTCCGTTCAGCGTGCAAGCTCCCTGGGGACGGCAGTGACCCTTGCTCTGAGGAATTATGCAAGAGATGGACCCCTGTGTTGGCTGGGGTTTGAGGCTGTCTCATCACACAAATACAAAGGATAACAACTACCCTGAACAGTAGTCTTGCCACAGCATTTTCTAACAGTTCAGCAAGCCAGTTACAGCTCCTCCTGTTCCCAAGAAGTCGGCGTCCTTGACTCATGGTCATATTGCAAAGAGCAGGGGGTTAGCGCCTCATGTACAGCGAACTGACTTCAATTTGTGGCGACGTTTGAAAACTACCTCGGAAAAAGGCAAGCTCCATGCAGTTGCATTGACTTAGATCACCAACATGCTGAGCCGACTGGACTGCAGAATAATAAGAATTTCTATTCATCTCTTGAGTATCTTTTCACCAATCAAACTTCCATTTTCCTGATATTAAAGGTTTGGTATGACATCACAAGAGAAACTTTTTGTATCCACCAAATCCAGATGAGACTCGCAATCATTTATGGCCATATTTTTCCTGAGAGACTGTCTCACAAACAATCGGGGAACATCTGCTAGAAAGCATTTTAAAATGAAATTTGACCTACAATTCAACTCTGTGGCAGTGGTTTGACTGTTTAAATAAATGCATGCCCTTTAAATCTTAAATTATGAGATAGTTTGTTGAAAGTGTAATGTATTTAGCTTTTATCTAATAACCTGCAGAAATGTAATCAACCCCTCCTTAAAACAGTTCTGAAAGAAATGGCAAAAATGAAAAAAGGCTCCATTTTCATTAGTCATAAATAAAATGACAGCATCAACCTCTAGGGGTTCCGGAGATGTTCCATTGAGAAATTTTCCAGGGCTCGTTGTGTGTGCCTTGGGAAGGTTAGTTTAGAAATGTCTCTGATGTAAATATCTTCGGCAAACACAAATCCATTCCACAGAATGAAATTCCAGGTTAAGCTGTTGTTGTGTTTGTTATTATTTTGCTAGTTCTACAGAAAGTTAATTGGAAAAATCTTTTCTAACCATGAGTCCAAACTTTATATTCTTGAGATCACCACATGCTGAATTCATTTTCTTTAACTTTTAGATATACACTTGAGTTTACAGTCAAAACATTCTGATATTAAAACCTTAAAGCTGGGTGTGGGGGGTCTGTCACAATCACTGACATAGCCCTACTACTATTACGTTCATTGCTTATTCAGCCTAATAGGCAGTCATTTCATTTTATTCGTAGCACTTAGAAAGGAATCATTTTTGCCTCACGTTAAGAAATGTGGGGTTTTTTTTAACATAAACCAACAGCTATTTGGACTCTCTGATGCCACCTGCCCACATATTTGGACAGCACTTGTTACATTTCTAGAACAGCCTGTCTTAATCTGGGGGACATTGAGAGGGAAAGAAGCACTTTAAGAAAAGCAGTAGTCGCTAAAATACACTCTGAATTGCACTGAAGCCAACAACATCTTTCCACTGACTTACATATTAAAGCTTTATCCACTGTTGAGCAAAGCCTCTGTTTTCCAGTTGTTTATACATGTCCTAAAATTACTCATTAGCAATCCATTGTTATGATCTCCTCCATTTTGTGTATATTATTCACGGGCATGCAAATTGAAATTCAAACATCTGGATGTAATCTGGGCAACCTCTGAAAAGCATATCTCTCAGCGATTTCCCTTACATTTGAGCCTCACAGCTTAATTAGTCGACTTTTTAAGTCCATGAAATTGTCATGTGCAAACCAGAATATCTGCCAGCTACTTGCTCAAAGCGTGAAAGATCACTGGCAATCAGAACAGCTCCTTAACGAACTATAATTGAAAAAGTACAAAATGATAGTATGCAAACAGCGTTGTACAGATAGAAGGGAAGACAAATGAAAGCCTCTTTCACGTCATCTTTACTCACACGAACAATCCTTATGTCCCTTTGAAGTTAGAAGAACTACCCGTGCACATAAGAATTACTCCTTAATATGAATTAGGCTGGATAAGGTCACTATAAACATCAGAATGGAAAGGTAAGTTATATTAAAAAGATTTCCTCAAGCACATCTCAGTGTGGAGGAGAAGAGAGAATTTCTTAGCTGTGCGGAATTTAGTTAAATCAGAGAAAGTTAGTAACCATACTCACCAATTGATTCTGGTAGGCAGTAACAGCAGTAAAAACTGTCTCTGGAAAGATAAATGTCCTGAACTCTTCAGATTTCAGATTTAGCAAAGATGCCGTGTGATCCTTCTTCTTAATAATGTGGACCCTTGGCTGGTACTTGTGCATGGAGTTTAAAATGATCTGAAAGAAAGAGTTATGGGACATTGTCCTGAGAAGAAGATTAACAAGATTGTTGAAGACAATAAAACGGTATGGAAAAAAGATACAATTAACACTGTAGAGGGGACATCTTAAATCTAACTAGCCTGGGGCTGGTTTTCAGAGTAAGCTCTCCAGCTCCTCCGGGCAGGTGCTTCCTTCTGAAAATCAAGCTGTAAGAGCAGGCAGTTCAGGAGCTGATTTCCTCTCACTGCTGTGTCACTAGTGAGCACCCACTTTTGAAGCATAAATACCTGTTTCTACAGGCGAGATGTTCTACATATATAATGTGTTGTCGCTGGTTTGTGCCCCAGTTTGTAGGTGTCACTGACAAGTGTAAATATTAACTCTTGAAAAGCACATGGCCAAGAACTGACATTTGCAAACTGCATAGGTGGCAGAATGAAGCCAGGCAGGGACCTCCCCCGCAAAAGCAAAACAAAACAAAATAATAAAAAATCTGCCACTACCAGCCCAAAGAGCTGAAAAAAACAACCCTTCCCAGACCCTTTCATCATTCAAACCTTTAAAGCAACCTACTTTGTAGGCGTTCTTCAGTACAAACTACCAGAAATGAAATCATGGAGAGAAACCAGTCCAGAACCCCAAACTGGCCAAGTTTTGCCATTTTTTCTCGATAATAACTGTTTATGAGCAAAAGCATAATTCCAAACCTAATGGACCATCTAACCAATTTCAACGTTCACTGGAGTCAAACAGAGATTCCCACTTGCTTCAATTAGCACTGGATGGAGGCCTATTTGGCTGCCTCTAACCACAATATTACAATATAAGAATTAAATACAGAGCTCGGCTTGCACCAGTCCTTGTTTTGGATATAATCACAGTCATAAGACTAAATTGGCAATGGTGTGGGTGGTTCTATTTTACGGGGGCCATAACGACATTACAGCCAGTTCTGTACATCTGGAATAGCTAATCTGCATTCCACGGGAAACGTTAACTTTAGCTGAAACACAGCAGAAGTGCAGTATTTCATGCTAACTCAGTAAATAAGAAAGATTGCATATTGCCTAGGAGTGGGGAGCTTAGAAACAGCTTTTTCATGGCTGAAATTCCCTACAGCACTTTCTTCTCTTCTCCTTTGGGGCCAAAGGTTGCTGTGACTTGCACTGTGATTTTAGTAGGGTGCACATGGGGAGAAGGGAATCACTATGATAACAGGGAGTCATGGCTCTCAAAGTGTTATATGTCAGCTTTTACCAGCTCAGGTCCTTTCTCAGATTGCTTCATCAGTTTATACACAAACATACACACACAGATGCACACCCCCAATGGGCACATGCTTTGCAGTTAATATTATCAGTACTTTTCCCTCTGCTTCTGAGATTTTGTCTCTCCAGCCTAGTCAGCGGGACTACCAGCTGCTCTGTACATTAAGACCAGCTCTAAGCAGTTGGAAAAGACATTTGAAATGATGGTGTATGCATGGTGATCAGCTTACTGAGGGGTTAGCCTACAGCACTCGGCAATGCGCTTTCTATTGTCTTTAATGGCCGCAATATCCGTGCCGCAGCATTACATCTGAGCAGCAGCCGAGTGGAAGGAGGAAAAGGCTGTGACAGAGCAGCTCCCACACAAGCCCTTTCCTTTCACTCCTCTGTGAATGTGAATTGTGATAACAAAACTCCGTTTTTCAAATAAGACCACGTAATCCTCTATGAAAGTTTTCTAAGACCACAAGGATACATAAACAACATCCTCTGCCACGATACTCTACCTCACGTATCCCCACCAGAGAAGTCAGGTCATTCAGGTACAAAGAAAGTACCGAATGCAGCTAGGAGTTCACAAACCTTCTGGGAGACCCAAGGCCAAAGTTAAGGTCACTATTTCCTTTTTAATAGCATCTATGCATGTTGTGTTCCATCCGCACCCCCACAAAGGCTGTCAAGGTTGCAGCATTTGCTGACATTAACGTCAGCTGGATACTGCACAAAGATACCACTTAATATCTGTGCACCTTTTTGTATTCGGATCGTCAAAGCAGCCTAAAGGAGTTAGATGCACAGGGTGCATCTGCAGAGTAGTCCCACTGGTTGCTCTCAAAGTCAGAACGGTCCCCTACCTGCGCTGTGTATTTAGCAGAAAACCTCTGATGCCAGCTTTGAGATACTCAAGCTGGTGTGCTCGGAGGGAAACATCGGGTGCACGAACGCTTACAGCATCCTCCAGCACATGCTTACTGATAGTGTGGAGTGATTACAGGCCTCCAGTCATCCCATCTGCCTCTGTGCTGACAACCTCAGGGAGGGGAGATGACCAGGATCCTTTGTGGCAGGATCCCATTCGCTGCAAGGTCAGGTGGGCTTTGGAGGCAGCTGGCTCCCGCTGGCCACCAGAGGCAATCTGGATGACAGCTGCAAAATCCCTGAGGTGACTTTGAATTCAGGAACTCTGCTGTGCATACCGCTTCCACATTCACCAAAGAAGAGCATTACCAGACAAGGCTCACTTTTAAAAAGCATTTAGGTTTCACACTTCTACCAGCTTAACTTTTAAAAAAATGGCCATCATTCCCTGTGGCTACTCCGAAACCCTTGCTCCACAGTTACTCTTTGGCCATGCTCACATCTTTGCATCTGTTTTTGCAAACGTTCATGCATTCAGGTTTTGTAGTCACAAAAGCCGTGTATGCATTTGCCCCAGAAAAGCAATTGCAGTAATGTAAACATTCACAATTGATCTCACTGTGGACCAAAGGTGGTACCACCACAACCAAGTACAACCCAAAGTCCTAAGACAAGCAATCGGTGTGAAAAACATCACCAGAAATCTAACAAAATCACAATGTTCATGGAAGTTCAGCAACCAGGAAAACAGGAATTACTTGCTCGACTCTGAAAATCCAGAGATGGAAGCCATTTCCTTTCTCTGATGAGGATATCTGTAAGCGTTTCCATAGAGAAAGCTGTATGTCATGCACACAAGAGATAAGACTTCTGCATGATGCTTGGGGAGACTATGTGCATAGCTATGGAGTTATGCAAGCTGCTGAAGATACACCAGCAGAGGTGCTTGCCAAGTCCAAAAGTCTCAGAATAAGTGAAAACAAACAAACGCCAAAACAAACAAATGCTTCCCCTCTCTTCAGGTGGATTCCTTTTCAGGAAATGAACCACTCTACAAATAAAACACCACAATTATCATAACAGCCAAAACTGTCTTTTGGGGGATGGAGAAAGCAAGCAACTAGAACAAACTGGAATTAGGTTGGTTCCATCTTCTATACCTGTAAGTAGTATTTAAACACAGTTTTTAGGCCATTAAAACCTCATCGGGTGCCAACGTGCCTTATCAAACGCCAACGTGCCTTATCAAACATAATTAACATTTTAGTAGCTCAATTAAAAAGATCTCCTCAGTGAAGAAGGGCTCTTTCAATCAGAAGGGAGAGGTTTCAGAAGGCATTTCAGTTCTCCCCTCCCCTTAGCACACAGGAGCTCAGGCATACCATTGGCCATACCACAGCGAACCACCCTTTCTAAAGCTTCAGAGAATGAATTTGTTCCTTAATTCTATTGAGCATCCAATGATAGTATTTACATAGCTTCAGTAAGGCAGCACATAAAACTTGACACCCTAATTTGGAATACAAAACACCACAAAATATTAAAAAGGGAGTGCTCCATGAAGGCATAATGTCTGTCACGCAAATCTCAACCCAGCATCAAGCCTTCGGGGCTTATTCTTAACTGAACAAGCAAAACTTTCCATCGACTTGAGCTGTTCAAAGCCTTAGTGCAAAGAATGTGTTCCACCTCTGCCATTTCTTGGAAAGTTAATCAGGAGGCCACATCTCCTAAGCTACAGATCATATTCTCCCACTACACGTATTTGAAATGATTACATCTTGCTCTGTCACATGTCTTGGTTCCCGACAGTTTCTCAGACCTACTTCTTTTTTATACTCATCTGGACTTCTGGGAACTGCACCACTCCTAACTAGTTTGCAATATACTGCTGCAAGCCCTTTATTAGAGGCACACATGGCCCCTGTTATGATGAAAAATGCTTCTTTTTAAATGTGCACGTATACTGCTCTATCATCACTCGATGATAGAGCCCACAAATCTTCAGCTTTGCCCTTCTAGAGATTATGAAATAAGAGAAAAAAGACATTCTCCGCCAGCCAGGAAGGGAGTGATGGTGGGAAAAGGATTCAAGAAAAATATATCTGCAGACAGATCTTTACAAGGGAACAATTCATAGGCATCTAGCTGGACTTTCTTTTGACTTTTTTTTTCTTCTTCTCTTTTTTTCTAGCTTTCAAGATATATTTCAAACTGTAAAGGCTGTTGTTCCGTTTTTAGGTCTTGTTATGAGCAAAAATTCTCTTTCAAATGAGAAGTGTTTGCACAGAACACAGCTCAGACAAATGGCCACTATGCCAAACAGTGTGCAAAAGCAATAAATAGCACACTACAGGAGAGCTTTCTGATATTGCGTGTCTGTGAGCCACAATTATTCTGCTTTGCAGGTTAGTTATCCTCCCCTATGCTTCCAAGTCCAAAATCAACCCTATCTTGCTGATATCTTTATCAACACTCTTTCTTTTTAATTGTCCTGTTCTGAGCCAAGAACTCTTTCAAATCCGTCCACTTGCTTCTTCAGCCTTCCTATGGAGAATTGCCTAGCTCAGAGGCCCCTTTAGGCCTTCCTTCTCCATTACAAGGTGCCACCAAGCCATTCCTGCACTTTTCAGGCAGCTTCTTAGGGGAGGCTCTTACCACTTGGTGTTAGACGGTAGAGTAGCTGAATGCGGCATCTCCACTGATGACTAAAGGAGCATAACAGGAGCCCACTGCCAGCAGCTCTACATCCTATTTTCCAGCTTCCAGCCTCAGAGCTTGTGACAATAGAGTGGTATCAGTCAGTGTTGGGACCTGTTCCCTTTAGAGGCCCCAGTCCACCCTGTGGCACGTTGGGTATCAGAAAGTCTAAGGCTATTCTGGGAACAACTGAGGTGTATCTATTTTTATAATTCTAGATCCCTTGTTTTGGTGTTACATTAATAATTTTCTGCTGTCTCTGCGTCCAGTCTGCCTTGAGTCTGTAAGTAAAAGCTGTTATTGATGGACCCTGTTCTAATAGGCTGCCTGTAATGGTGACATGCTATTCAGCAGAAGGGAGCTCTCAAGCACACATAGAAAAGCATGTGAGCTTGCTAGCCAGTGCTATGTGGCAAAACACTGCCAGGTCACAACAAAATGAAGATAGAAGCACAGCGAAAAGCTTACCTGCCTCCCTTTCTCCTTCACTGTTATGCTCAACCCCACTGTGAATTTTTCCCCATTGGATGCTCTGCCTCGAACTGGAAAGGCAGCACGATTCGAACGCTTGTGTTGGCCTGGGCCCTACCCATCTATCTCAGGAACATCCCAGCAGGACACAGCCTCTAGGACCTATGCGAAACATGTGCTTGTCCAGCCCTCATCCAGAGCTCAAATGTTCCCAGGGTTAGATCGCAGATGATGCCACACTCCCTCCTCCAGAAGGGCAAACGCAACGGTAATGCTTATGCAAAGCTAATGCTTATGACAGATAATAAATGGATTTCTGAGGTTATCAAAAAGAAAGATTAAAACTCAAAACATTTAAGCTTCATACAGCTCCTCCACTGTGCTATGAAAGGCCAGCCAAGAGAGGTGTAACCTCAGAGCTAAGGCAGCCTTTTCCCATTGGGATCTTTGTCCTACAGGATTAGCCTTGCGGTACAAGTGAGAAACTTCCCCGTTGTGGTTTTTGGACCCTTTCCCACCAGGAGGGCTACTCACATGGCCATGCTGATCCAGCTCGTTGTTTGTGAGCTTCACTTTTTCAAACGACACCATCTGCTTTAGCAATTGCTCTCCTGTAAATGGTGAGTCGGGGTGCACATACAACCTAAAAAACACATAGAAAAGGCCCGCTCATAAAAATCTCACGACTTGGCTTGTGTGTGGGCACCACCGCTGTAAGAAATTTTAAAAGCCTGCAATATTTTGCTTTCAGGATATGCAATGGTTTCATAGAAATGGATTTCCTGGAGCTTAGGATAATACAGTTCTGCTACAACCCACAATCTGCCTAAATTAATGAATGCCTGAATTATGACCATTAAGGAAAGACAGTGGAGCACATGACTCGAGTTCTTTCATTCACTGGAATATAATGAAGAATTTTGTGTCCAAGTGCTAGATTGCTCTTTACTCATAGCTATTATTTTATCTAGTTATCTAAAATGGAGACATTAACTAACATTCACTGTTTTGTCTTTTCCCAAATGAAAAATTGATCATGTCTTTCCCCACAGCTGTACTAACAAGCACTTAAAATAACAATGACTACAGCTCCAAGAGAAAAAACATGGTGTCATTAGAGAGATAATGGGGGAATGTAGATAAAAATGCATTTTTCTTTATATGTAACATTAAGCTGTGATAATGATTTTAACCTGCACTCGATCACACGTTAGCTGTGGTGACGTGTGTTTACAAGAGGTTGAAGGCTGCAGTCCAGCACAGTGATTTGACATTAAAAAAAATAATTTGCAGCTATGTAATTAACAATCCACAACTTCGGAAATTAAGCAGAAGAAAAGGAAGCACAGAAGACGTGCAGATATAAAGATATATACATTATGACTAGATTATTTACAAGTGCTGGGCTACTTAAGAACAATGATTTTACAGGAATGGTAAATTGCTGAAAATTATTTAACTCAAATGTTCTTTTGTGATACTGAATTAAGAGCTGAATTAGCTCTTCAGCTAGCTCAAACTGGAATTGTTCCACTTCTGTCAGTGTTGATTATTGCTCGTGGAGGGCTTGCCTCTTTCTCTTCAGATGATGTATTTGGCCTCACTGATAGATTCGTTCCATTAGGCGGGTGGGGTAGTGCTGAGAGGCAGGGTAAAAAGGTAAATGTACATATATTTTTTTTCTTATTGAGCTATAGTTTTGGTTAGGCAAAGGGAGAACTGAAAGACCATTAAATGACGGGGTGTAACTCTGACAGACTATGTGGATCCCCTCATCAAGGAGTGTCTGCACTAAAGGCTTTTGGGAGCACAGCTCTCTTGCTCAACGAGGAAAGATTTGATCCTCAATTCGCTCTTTGCCAGCAAAATCCCCAAGACGCAATTCTGCTAGCAAAAGCTGAAGTTTTACCAGCATAGCTCGCTTCAGATGTTCAGGATGTTTTCCTGAAACTGATATGAAGCACAGCTTGGCTGGTATAACTATGTCCATAGCAGAGATGCTGTGCCAGGATTCATTCATCCTGCAGTAAAACGTCCCTAACATATGCAGGACCTTGCTGCTATCGACTCTCCTGATTGTACTGCAAGGCTTGTGCGAAACAATGATTTATTTGAAAACCCAAGATGTGGAATCCTGTTATGTCAAAAGAATATTACCTTCCATGAAAGTTAACTTCTTTGCCTTCCTGCAGAAAACTATGAAAATCTGAATCTTTAAAGGCTCAAATCACAAAGGCAAAACAAAAGGAATCTTAAACATATTGCTTCCAACCTTCCAACCTCTGCAATTTTTCAGCCGGTCTTGTGGGTTTTTTTTTTTGAGCCTGACTCCTGATTCTGAACGGCTGGATAGCTAATATTGTTTACTGTGATCACAGAGTGTCAAGCTTAACAAGGTTTGGCTAATTGGGACCAAAAAGCCAAACTATTTCAAATAGGCACTTGAGGAGTGAGTAAGGATCTTCCTCTGTTTAAAAGCTGAGTGCAATTGCTTCACCCTGTACACAGTTAATGTCTGACATGACACCGCTGTCAAGCTATGGTTTACCTGGGTGTTAGCAGAGAGCTAACAGGAAAGTCACTGAAGCGTTGGTACCTGAATATCGGTTACTTGAATGTATTAATAGACCTGGTTTTCTTTACTGCTTTGCCAACATGTCTTTGATCCCGCAGGAACACGTGGTTCCAGTTGTTTGGACTACACCTATCAGCATACTTCTCCTATGGCCTGATCTTGCATAGTCTGGAAAGGAGGATTCAAAAGTAGATATAATGCCATGTGAAGCAGAGGGAGTCCACGAGACTGCGAGTGTGTACGAGCAAAGGGATTAGAGGACTAAACATGCACGTCCCGCCGAAGCGCACGCAACCCCCGTTGCCGAAGCTCCAACCTCTGCCGCCGAAGGCTGGCCAGATGGGAGAGCTCATGCAGTTGAATTCACAAAGGCTTTGGGAGCCTTATTTGGATCTAAATTTGCTCCAAGGTATTTATAATATTTCATGAATTATCCATGACTTGGGTACTGCTTCCTTCTTACATATTTTGTACTGCTGCATTGTTTTCCTTCTACTTGGTTTACAGTTGCACCGGTCCTACAAGCTCTCTGTGCATGCAACTTTTAATTACCTTAATGTCACAAACAGGTAATTTGTAAGACATAGTAACACCTTTTCTGAAAACATAGTAACACCTTTTCTGAAAGTTTCCTTCATAGGATTTTCTGTAAGTGTGTAAATACTACAACTTCATTAAACAAATGATTATGGGCAGGCCAATGTTGCCAGAAAAGTACAACAACAAAAAAACCCTTTATGGGTGAAAGACAGGAGGTAGAAAAGGAAGAATAGGCACTAAAGGTACATGCTGAAACTTACTAAGCTGATATATCTTTGAAATACCCTTTGCAATTTGGAAGAACAAACAAAATATCACATAGGAATTCTATCCCCAGAAAGCACTTCAGAAGATTTACAAAAGACTTTCTGAAAAGTATTTTTATTCAAGTGTTCATGGCAACATAAAGTTGTCTTAAATGCTGACAGCAGGAAGAAAAGGATAAAACTGTTTTTTGTAGTAAGTTCCCTGAAGGGCTAACCTTTCATACAGCATCACAGAATATTTACTGATTTTGAGAAAGGTTGTTTTAGTGCTTAAAGTTATTTTTAGCATAAAAACAGCAAAAAGGCTTACGGGTTTGATGCAAAGTCTTACACCCCTGCATAACATGACTCGGGCATAATTCCCCTGATGCCATTGAGACTGTCCAGGTGAACACAGCGATACATATGTGGAGTTAGCGCCTTGGCACCACTGGCCCCAGCACTAAAACCTTGTGTTTGGAGGAAAAGAAATCACGAGCAAGAACTTCATTAAAGGCTTCTGTTCCTGGAGCAGGACCATTTTAAGATGGGAAGACTGCTACTTTTAATGTGTTTGAGCAGGACTGAGGCTCCCCACCTCAAAAGATGCCTTAATGCTCCAGAAACAGCAACAGTGATGCAAACACACCAGCATGCACTACCACTCTTGACAGCCTTTTCTCATCAAATCAGAGTCTAAGAAGCAAAAAGTGCATATACATATATGCAAGTACCATTTATAGAAATAAAAAGTAATCTGTGCCCATGTTATTATCAGTTCTGCTTTGTCTAAACATCCTGAAAATGAAACAGGATATGCAGCATATGTATACATTAGCACATAGGGGCACTGACCTGATGGGGACCTCTAAGAGCTACCAATATGATAATAAATAGTAAACTCCAATAAGGTTTGACCTCATCCCTATAAAAGTTGGTCAGGAATCTGCTAATTACTTCAAGGATCAGCCTCCTATCTTAGTCTCATGAGAATTTTTTCATTGAACTATTCTATGCCAGAGAGCGTATGGATTAGCAGTCTAGCTAAAGGTAACCCAAAAAAGCTAGGCACTTTTAACAGACAAAGACGAAGGGGAGAACCCTGCCCTGAGACTATTTCTGTCCTTAATTTTTTGTTTGACACTGACTCCTTTGGGAACAAGAGCCATCTTTTTCTTAGGGTTTGAGCAGTCCCTATTACAATACTTCAAAGGAAGCCCTTAGCTGTTAACCACATTACAAGAAGGAGTTTTTGGCCCTGAAAACAAAGCCAGCATAACTCCTAGGTTGCTGTCTTTAATAACAGCTTCCATGCATGCACTTTTTCTTTACTTCCCTGAGCTGCCTTCCAGAGATCCGGAGTCAGCAAGATTTCAGCAGAACTATTTATATAAGAAAATTGTTCGGGATCTGGTCCCGCACCCACACCTAAAAATGTGCTTCCATTTCTTCTGCTGTAAGTCTTCCTCTGTAATACCCAAGATATTAACCCTGGGCTAAGACACCTGGAACAGATCTGTGTGCCTGCAAAGAGCCCTCCACGCATCAGGAAGGTTTCTTGCGGAGCCAGAACGGCACCCACGTTTCTGCCGTATCTCCAGCTCTGACTCAGCCAAGCTGTTAGACATGTGCTTCTGCCTTATTGGTCTTGGAGACTTAAGTACATACTGAAGTGCTGTGTTAAATGTGATAAAGTATGGTAGAAAAGCACTTCAGCGGAGATCTGTAAGGCCTAGGGCTGTAGCCTCAGTTTCCCAATGCGGAAAGAAGTCAGACATTAATTATAGTAATAGGAGGATTTTAGACATGAGTTTTCTACAGCACTTTGTTCTGTATAGGAAAGCGTGTTATTCTGACTTTTTTTTCCTAGGGTATCAGAAAATGCTAAAATTCCTCAAAAAATAAAACAAAAAAAAAATCTCTCTGCTGGAAGTACATGAATACATACTTTGACTTCTGTATAAAAGGTAGCTAAAAGCAAGAATAAAATTATGAGTTAGTAAACACTGGATATATTATCAAGAAATAATATAATTTCAAGCATAAACAGCATTGTACTCTAACGCAGCATTTCTACTTGGACTTGCCTAGTACTGCTTGCATTGCTTTAAAATATTAGGCTGAATGCAGGGGGAAAGGGAGGGACACCAAGAGACAAATCAAAGACATTTAAAAAAAAAGTTTCCTGATCTAAATTAAGGCAAATTTCCTTTAAAAAAAATATAAAAGAGCATTAAGCCAAATCCTGCACAGCTTTGGAACATTCATTATAAGTCAAACCTCATGCAGAGATTTGAGGCCTGATTCTGCATCACAGCAATCAGAGTTTTGAGATCAACTTTCTTCGGCAAGGACTCAAGCTCTCAGACCATGTTTGCAAACAGCATAGAAAGGTTAATAGGTATTTCTTGAAGGGACACACACACACACACACACACACACACACACACTCACTCCCCAGTTGTAAAATCGACAAACCTTGCAGGGAGTGGAGGGTCAGCTTTTCCAGCTACTAGCCAGGAAGACCTGTGGTAGGCATATCTGTATCTTTTATTGTCCACAGGAACTATATCCATTAACACAATGTACTTGGCTTCAGGATCCACTCCCGAAAAGGAAACTCTGATCGTAGGAAACATTCTCCTGAAATAAAGGCAGATCAGAAAATAAACACACAGATGGAGAGCAGAACTAAGAACTTCTGAAAAGTTACTACAAGTAAGAGTTACATTTAAAACTCCTGGAAAAAGATGGAAACATCAATTGCTTCTATTTCAGCATGATAGAAATTAAATCCCACATATCTCTATAATATACATAGAAACAACAGCTTGAAGTTGGAACAATTTGAAGTAAAAAGATAAAGTGGTAAAAGAGAAAAAATAAAGGAGAAAAATGCGTTTTTGCCTGGTACTTAACGTGCACAAACAACGATTTCAGAAAACAGTTGTACCTAAGGTACGTAAGTCCTTACAAATACTATTTTTATGAGATCCATGCTAGGGTTAGGGAAATACTGCAAAAAATTATTTCCACTAGTATTCCCACAAACTGCAGATGCATCTTCTTTTAGCCTGATTACAGTATTCTCGAGAAGTATTACCAAAAGTAAGCTTCCTTTTCTCCACTTAAATTTTGACAAAACATAGATTTTAAAATGCAGTGTTTTGCCATATACCAGAAATTCAGTTAAGCAACTTTAAATATTCTTTTAAAAATCAAACTTCACATTGCAGATTTTACACATGCTTTTTTTAAAAACATATACTGGTATCGTCGGCTAGTTATAAAGATCATCAGGGAGCTACATTAATAACAAGTAACTTGGGGGATTACAAAAACCCACATTTGGCTCCTTTGGACTGCATTTGGCTGATCCAAACCCAGAGAGCCTTACTGCAGAAACTCAATGCTTTCAGATGACTAGAAAGCCTGGGATTCTTTTGCACATGATATGCAAGGAGAGAAAAGAGACATTTATCAAAAAAAAAAAACCAACAACAACAAAAACAACCAATCAACCAAAAAAACTGAATTACTCCTCAAGACCCTGTGTTTGCACCTCTGTACCAACACAGCCCGGCAAAGTCACGACGCGACACAAAGCGGCTTTCAGCCACAGCGCTGACTTCCACTCGCCTGCAGACTAGGAGCTTCCTTGCAAATTATTCGGGCATCTAAATTTCTACCAAAACCGCTGGGACTTGTCCCGTACGAGCTCAGCCCCCCCTTAGAGGGGAGGTCTGCGCGCTGGCCGAGGAGCAGCCGCAGGGAGCTGAGCTCTGCCTGCAGTGCCGGGCCGCACCAGCCTGGCAGTGCCCTACCTCCACCCCTGCTACTCCCCCCACATCAACGCTCTTTGGGGTGGCTTTTTGTTTGTTTAGGGTTTTTTTTGTTTTTGCTTTTTAATTTCCCCTTAAACAGCTGCCCAGAGAGGACATCGTGCTGCCCTGCCCTGCCCCGGCGCATGGCCATCCAGCTTTACCTCCCGGACTTGGTGATGATCATCTCGGTGCCCAGTTCGTGAAACTTGTCCCAGAGCTCCTTGGTCTCCAGGCTGCAGGAGATTTTGGCCATCTCCTCGCTGGGGATGATGGGGGTGGTGGGGATGAGGGGCTCGGTGCACAGGGACGAAGGGCTCGTGCTAAAATCCCCGTGAGGGTCCAGGCTGGACAAGTCGCTCAAAGGCTGGGCGCAGGAGGATTTCTCCACGAATTGTTCTGCAGGGTTTGGGGGGAGAAGAGAAACGGGCAGGTTCAGCCAGGACGGGGCTGCTGGCGGCAGCGAACTCTTTTGCGAAGGAAGATACACAGCGTTCAACCGAGTCCCTTTTCGTAGACGTCAGCTCATCATTTGGGGTGGGAGTGAGGCTTTGGATTTTCGGAAAGCTGCGGAGTGCCGTGCACCCCCCCT